ACAATAATGTTGAGAAAGTTTTTTATTTTTTACAACATATGTGGAAATGCAGAGACAAGACAAGGATATTACAGTAATAGCGTAGCTCTATGTCAGCAGCTCTATGCAAAATATTTGCAGTCAATATCAAAATACAAATATTAAATATATTTGGTTATAATTTGCTTATAATATTTAATATTATTGTTTAATACCATATTTATTGGTTAAATTATGATATGAGCTTTGTGTATTATTAATTAGACGTATAATTGCAGAAAATAACTCAATTAAAAAGTGGTGTTTAATACGGTTAATGTATGAAATAGTTTTAAAAATTTTGTTAAATATTACTGTTATCTAAGTTTGTAATCATTTTAAGTATTCATCTTATTATTGGTTTAGACAAATAAATACTTGAAAAATTAAACAATTTGACAAACGCAACTTCATAATGAAAAGAGCAGTTTTTGGTAGTGTTATTGGTGTGTGATAACTAATTATTTTAAGATGTGAAAGGTTATTGAACCAATAGTTTATTTCTTTGTAGTTATTGGTATTCTACTAATTGCTGGATTAATTCTATTAATTGCATATTGGCATTTTGGTAATTTATATAATATATAATTTAAGAAATTAACTTTTTATTTTTTAATTCAAAAACTATAATTTATACAATATGATTCAAACTACTAATTGCTGGATTAATTCTATTAATTGCATATTGGCATTTTGGTAATTTATATAATATATAATTTAAGAAATTAACTTTTTATTTTTTAATTCAAAAACTATAATTTATACAATATGATTCAATATGACATCTACAACTTATGATTAAAAATGCAAATTATTAACCAAGGTGATAAGTACAACCCGTACGCACCGTTTGGCGATTTCCTGCAAGGCAAATTACTAAAATCATCTCGCACCATTGATAAAACATACGATGATTTTAAAGTATAGTACTATAATATCCATGTTTGACTCGTATACAGAGTTTATGTAAACTATTTTCATTTGAAAGGAATATTTGGACGATAAGCAGAATTTAGAGAAAACTTTCAAAGAATTTAAGTACGAATTCAACAAATCGTATGAATCAAGCGAAGTGGACCGCCAGAGGGAACAGATATTCCGGGACAACATGTTGCGAGTGTACGGACACAACTTGAAAGCTCTGGACGGCAAGTATTCGTATACATTACGGGTCGGTGTGGACGCGGATTTGACTCCTGACAAGTTTAGACAGAATCACACGCGTTGTCCGTTCGCACTGAACCGACCCATAGGTCACTCTAAGTCTCACTCGACTTCTGTTGACTCCCACACCGGCGATAAGAGCGGGTCGGTCGATTGGCGCCATCAAGGAGTAATTGAACCTGTGCAGGATCAGTTACGGGAGTACATCAAAATCCCGACAATCAAAATCCCAAAAATCGAAATCTCGAAATTCAAAATCCCGAAATACATAATCCCGAAAATTACAAAATCTATATAAAAAAATATTTTTACTCCAGTTAATGCAAAATTCATTGATATGAATCAGTTTTACTTGACAAGTTATTATACGCTGGTTATACACTAGTAAAATTGAGTCAATAATTAAATTATTGAATAGATATACGGCGAGGGAGTGCTCAGCCACCCGTGTGAGGCCACTCGCATGCAGTTAAATGATTACTATCACACAGTTCTTGTGGTCGGTTACGGATATGACAAAGAGTTGGACAGACACTACTGGATTGTCAAGAATTCTTGGGGCGACCACTTGGGCGAAGGGGGTTACATACGGTTGCATCGTAACGCCACCACCAAGTGTCCACTGTTTGAGATATCATTCCAACTGCCGGTAAATATTTAATAACTAAAGTAAATGTTCATTTTGTTTAATACATATTTGTTTGTTAGTACAACACTGGCCAGTTTCCAGGTCCAACTTTGACCGCATTGTTTGTGTCATTATTGCCATTCACTCTCGTTAAAAGCATATGAATCTGAAAACATGTTAACTGAGCTGGCTCACAACCATATTCAACTACTGTATTATAATTTGTTATAAAATTAATAGTACTGTACAATAACATACATTAAGCATTAATTAGTTTATCAAACATAAATTGTTTAAAATCTGAATCTGAATACAAATCATATGACTGTGTTTAGCATTTGCTTTCTTACAGCAGATAACAAGTAGATTCAGTGCTAATAATTTAGGCGATTAGAGCATAATAAGAAATATGAATAAGTAAAGAGGACTGGGGAGACGGCGGGTTCATCTATATGCGCAAGGATGCCGGCAATAGGTGCCATGTTGCCGACCATTGTGTCCAGGTGTTTTAATGCTATAAAGTTTTTTAATTTTAAGGCATATCCAAACTCTTGTAATGTTTTAAAAAGTATTAGTAATAAATGAAAATATGTTCTTTGAATGAAACCTAATTGAGTAATAAATGTTTGATTTATTAAATTAGCTTACATTAGCATAACTTGTTATTACTGTCTGTTTGTCAAACATAGGCGACAATAATGTTCAGAAACTTTTTTATTTTTTGCAAAATATGTGGAAATGCAGAGACGAGGCCAGTAATAGCATACAGACATACAGTATAGTTATGTCTTCANAAAATATGTGGAAATGCAGAGACGAGGCCAGTAATAGCATACAGACATACAGTATAGTTATGTCTTCAAAATATTTGCAGTCAATACAAAAATAAAATATTCAATAAATTTGCGCAAATATTATTGCTTGATTATTAAACTTTAATACCATGTTTATCTTTTAATGATTATGATTCATATTATAAGTGTATTATTACTTAGACGTGATATAATTGCAGGAAATAACTTCTATTATAAAGTGCTGTTTATTACGGTTAATGTATGAAATAGTTTAATAAATTTTGTTAAATATTACTGTTATCTATGTAATCATTTTCAGTATGTATTTTATTTTGTAGAATTAATATCGGTTCTAAATTTTGCTTGAATAATTAAACAATTTGATAATGAAAAGAGCAGTTTTTGGTAGTATTGCAGGTAGTATGTGATATTGTTTTAAAATTGTGAAAGGTTATTTAATTAATAGTTTATTTCTTTATAGTTATTGGTATTCTAGTAATTGCTGGATTAATTGCACTAACATATTGGCATTTTGGTAATTTATATTACAATATAAAAAATTATTAACTTTCATATTTTTTAATTCAAAACTATAATTTACATTATATCTACAACTTATAATTAAAAATGCATATTATTAACAAAGGTGATGAGGACAACCCGTACGCACCGTTTGGCGATTTCTTGCAAGGCAAATTACTAAAATCATCTCGCACCATTGATAAAACATACGATGATTTTAAAGTATGTACTATAATATCCATGTTTATGTTTGACTCGTATATAGAGTTTATGTAAACTATTTTTATTTGAAAGAAATATTTGGACGATAAGCAGAATTTAGAGAAAACTTTCAATGAATTTAAGAACAAATTCAGCAAATCGTATGAATCGAGTGAAGTGGACCGCAAGAAGGAACAGAGATTCCGGGACAACATGTTGCGAGTGTACGGACACAACCTGAAAGCTCTGGACGGCAAGTATTCGTATACATTACGGGTCAGTGGGTTCGCGGATTTGACTCCTCAGGAGTTTAGACAGAATCACACGAATTGCACGTTCGTAATGAACCGACCCATTGCTTACTATAAGTCTAACTCGGCTTCTGTTGACTCCCACACCGGCGATAAGAGCTGGTCAGTTGATTGGCGCGATCAAGGAGTAATTGGACCTGTGCAGTATCAGGTACAATTTAATATACTGTATCATATTAATAATGGAATATGATATTTTATTTTGAATTTATTATGGTAAAAATAATTATATAAAACAATTTAAACATTTGTAGGACGATATGTACTGTATACAAGTGACTTTTATAGATTTGGATATTTACTTTTTAGTTCAAATACTACTGTAATTGATTGACTGTAAAGATTTAATGATATACAATATTAATGTATACTGTATCAGTAGTGTAATTTTTATATTCAGGGTAGTTGTGGATCATGTACATTGTTTGCAATGGCAGCACTGGTAGAGAGTTATTGGGCCCGTAGTGGCCACGGAGTCACAACGCTTAGCACTCAACAAATGCTCGACTGTTACCATAACTCTTCCTGTCAAGGAGTATGTGCTCGCCCAATTTTATCCTACATCCAAACAAATGGTTTGACATCATGGAAAAACTATCCTTATACTGCCAAGGTAATCAATAACACAGTAGAAATAATATATTGTTTGTAATCATAAAACTAAGTTTCACAAATGAACTTTTAGTGGGGAACATCGTGACCTGTCAGTAAATTGTGCAATTATTATGGGTATTAAAACAAACTATATGTCCTTCTCGACAAATTGAATTGATCAAACTCGGCGAATATCATAAGCTAGTCCCGTAAATCCAGTTATAAACATATTGACATAGTGATTTTACACATAAAAATAACATTATATCTATGGGTGGCACTTCATGAACCGTATTTTCCGTATATTTTCTGTAAACCTAACGATACATTGTTTGTAATTTCAAGGTTCATTGCCGTTTGAGTGTTCATGAGGTGCCATCCATAGATATAATGTTATTTTTATGTGTAAAAGCACTATGTCAATATGTTTATAACTGGATTTACGGGACTAGGTCATCATATTCGCCGATTCTGATCAATTCAATTTGTCAATAGGGAAATATAGTATGTTTTAATACCCATTCTAATAGCACAATTTACTGACAGGTCACGATGTTCCCAACTTAGACTTGAACTAACATATAAAATATGAAATTTGAGAGCATGAAAGAGCCTTGTTGATTTAGTTAAACTGATTCGAAAATATTATAATTTTATTTAACTAAACTTATTACTTTACAAAATTACTTAAATAATCATAAAATGTTTAAAACATATCATATTTCTCTATTGTCTTGTCTAACAACGAGTGCGTATTATCCAATAGAAAGGTATATGTGATCGGGAAAGGGAGTCGAAACGAGTGGCGACAATAGGAGAAGTGAGTGTAAACTATCCTGAAAGCGAAGACTCGCTCATGAGTCTCGTGCGCGATAACGGTCCGGCTTTCGTGGTCGTACACACGGGCATTGACTGGGATATATACGGCCAGGGAGTGCTCACCCACCAGTGCGAAGCCAAAAGGATACAGCGGAATGATTACGATCACGCGGTTCTTGTGGTCGGTTACAGATATGATAAAGAGCTGGACAGACACTACTGGATCCTCAAGAACTCTTGGGGTGACACGTGGGGTGAAGGAGGTTACATCCGGTTGCATCGTAACACCATCACAAAGTGTCCATTGTTTCCATTTTCATACCAACTGCCGGTAAGTATTTAATAAAACAAATTAGCTAGTTCATTTTGTTGACTACATTTTTGTTTGTTAGTACAACACTGGTCAGTCTCCGGGTCCAACTTTGACCGCATTGTTTGTGTCTATCATTATTGCCATTCACTCTCTTTGAAAGTTTATGAATCTTATAAGGTTGAATGAGCTGGCTCACAACCATATTCAACTACTATATTATAATTTGTTATACAATTAATATTACAATTACATACATTTAGAATTAATTAGACATAATTGTTCAAATCTGGATCTAAATACAAATCATCATATGACATTGTTTAACATTTTATTTTTTACATCAGATTAAAAAAGTATATTAAGTATAATACTAATAATTTAGGAGATTAGAGCATAAACTGAAATATGAGCAAGTATAAATTTTTTAAACCAGAATCTGGGATTTCTGATTGTCAACCCTTTGTCCAGGTTTTTAATTATTCAATAAATGAATTTATTTTTTATTATTGTCAATAAAATTGTTTTATAAATATGTTGCACTGTTCATTTTATTAATTTTAAGGCATATCCATAGTATGAATTCCATACTCTTGTAATGTTTTAAAAAATTTTAGTAATAAATGAAAATATGTTCTTTGAATGAAACCTAATTGAGTAATAAATGTTTGATTTATTAAATTAGCTTACATTAGCATAACTTGTTATTACTGTCTGTTTGTCAAACATAGGCGACAATAATGTTCAGACACTTTTTGATTTGTAACAAAATATGTGGAAATGCAGAGACGAGGCCAGTAATAGCATACAGACATACAGTATAGTTATGTCTTCAAAATATTTGCAGTCAATACAAATATAAAATATTCAATAAATTTGCGCAAATATTATTGTTTGATTATTAAACTTTAATACCATGTTTATCTTTTAATGATTATGATTCATATTATAAGTGTATTATTACTTAGATGTGATATAATTGCAGGAAATAACTCTATTATAAAGTGTTGTTTATTACGATTAATGTATGAAATAGTTTAATAAATCTTGTTAAATATTACTGTTATCAATGATAACTTATCATTTTAAGTATGCATTTTATTTTGTAGACTTAATATCAGTTCTAAATTGTGCTTGAATAATTAAACAATTTGATAATGAAAAGAGCAGTTTTTGGTAGTATTGCAGGTAGTATGTGATATTGTTTTAAAATTGTGAAAGGTTATTTAATTAATAGTTTATTTCTTTATAGTTGTTGGTATTCTAGTAATCGCTGGATTAATTGCACTAGCATATTGGCATTTTGGTAATTTATATTATTAACTTCCATATTTTTTAATTAAAAGCTATAATTTACATCATATCTATAATACAACTTAAAATTAAATATGCATATTATTAACCAAGGTGATAAGCAGAACCATAATAAAAGTACTGAAGGTGATATAAGTACTAATATCACTGATAAGGACAACCCGTACGCACCGTTTGGCGATTTCTTGCAAGGCAAATTACTAAAATCACCTCGCACCATTAATAAAACGCGTGATGATTTTAAAGTACTATAATATCCGTTTCACATGTATATGGAGTTTATGTAAACTATTTTCATTTGAAAGGAATATTTGGACGATAAGCAGAATTTAGAGAAAACTTTCAATGAATTTAAGAACAAATTCAGCAAATCGTATGAATCGAGTGAAGTGGACCGCAAGAAGGAACAGAGATTCCGGGACAACATGTTGCGAGTGTACGGACACAACCTGAAAGCTTTGGATGGCAAGTATTCGTATACATTACGGGTCAGTGAGTTCGCGGATTTGACTCCTGAGGAGTTTAGAAAGAGACACACGAATTGCACGTTCGTAATGAACCGGCCCATAGCTCACTATCAGTCAAACTCGGTTTCTGTTGACCCCCACACCCGCGATAAGAACTCGTCATTCGATTGGCGCGATAAAGGAGTAATTGGACCTGTGCAGGATCAGGTACAATTTAATATACTGTATCATATTAATAATGAAAAATGATATTTTATTTTGAATTAAATAATACTGTATATTATGATAAAAATAATTATCAATGTTTATTATGTGGTAAACAATTGAATGATGATGTGCACCTGTAACTTTTATAGATTTGGACATTTAGTTGAAATACTAATTGATTTTATCAAGATTTGATGATTATACATTAGTATAATTTTATATATTCAGGGTAGTTGTCGATCCTGTGCATTGTTCGCAATGGCAGCACTGGTAGAGAGTTATTGGGCCCGTAGTGGCCACGGAGTCACCGCACTTAGCCCGCAACAATTGCTTGACTGTTACCCTGAGGCTTCATGTAAATGCGGAGTGAAAGTGGGACAATATCTCTCACTTTTATCCTATATTCAGAAAAATGGTTTGACATCATGGGAAAACTATCCATATACTGCCGAGGTAATCAATAGAACAGTAGTAATTATTGCTATCTACTGCTTATCTATCTATTGCTATCTACTGATATCTACTGCTTTATAATCATAAAATTAAAGGTTTCATATTTTAGAAATACTGTACAAGAGTCCAATTAAAGACAATTAACATTAGGTGCCCATTGAAGTGTCCCCAAATGAACTTTTCAATTTGTTAAACAAACCCAAGAAATGTGAATTTGAAAACATGGAAGATCTTTGTTGATTTCGTTAAACTAATTTGAAAATATTATAAGTTTACTCAACTAAACAATGCAAAATTACTTAAGTGATCATAAAAAGCTGGTCTTTTGTCTTTTATATCCCTCTTATATATATATTCTTCTAATAACGAGTGCATATTGTCCAATAGAAAGGTGTATGTGAAAGGGAGTCAAAACCGGTGGCAACAATTGGGGAGCCGAGAGAAGACTATTTTGTAAGCCAGAACACTCTCAAGAGTTTCGTGCACGATAACGGGCCAGCAGTTGTGGTCGTACACGTGGGCATTGACTGGGGCATATACGCCCAGGGAGTGCTCACCCACCAGTGTGAAGCCAAAAGGATTGAGTGGAATGATTATAATCACGCGGTTCTTGTGGTCGGTTACGGATATGATAAAGAGCTGGACAGACAGTACTGGATCGTCAAGAACTCTTGGGGTGACGCTTGGGGTGAAGGAGGTTACATACGGTTGCCTCGTAACGCCCCCACAAAGTGTCCACAGTTTCCAGTATCATTCCAACTGCCGGTAAGTATATTTAAGAAAATAAATTAGCTAGTTCATTTTGTTTGATGGAGTTTTGTTTGTTAGTACAACACTGGTCAATCTCGGAGTCCCACTTTGGCCGCACTGTTTGTGTCTATCATCATTGCCATTCACTCTCTTTGAAAGTTTATGAGTCTTAAGACGTGTTGAATGAGCTGGCTCACAGCCATACTCAACCATTATAATTTGTTATAAAACTAATGTTACAATAATATACCTTTAAAAATTAATTAATCAACATTTTATTTTCTTACAACAGATAAAAAAAAGTAGATTTAGTAGTACTTTACTAATAATCTAGTAGATTAGAACATAAACCGAAATATGAGCAAGTATAGATTTTAAAACCAGAATCTGAGATTTCTATCTGTAAACCCATTGTCCATGTTTTTAATTATTATAAATAAAAATGTTGTACAAGTATTTTGCACTGTTCATTTTTCCTATGATAACAATCTATTGATTAGTGGAGTTCAATGCAATCGGCGATTAAACTGACGGAAGTTTACTCAACAAAAGTCTTTTAACATTAGTTTCTATGGATTTGGTGTAAGAGTTAGGGTTAGACCCAATCGGACCGTAACCTCCAAGAGTTGATGACTTCTAACCTTTATTTGCATTCAATGAAATCAGTTATCGGTTAAAATACCTCTTATTTGAATGACAACTCATTAGGGAAGTGATTGCAGAGTATATAAGAGTCGAGGGAAAGGTGTATGAAATGGATATAAGCTTTCAATTACAATGAAGTCATTAATAATTATCGGCACTGTATTGGCGACGACATGCCTGTCCAGTGGTCACCAAACAAACCCTATGTTTGAGCCGTTTGGCGATCTCCTTCAGGGAAAGCTACTCAGCGCCGGTAGTATTCGCTTAAAGTCTGCACACAATTATACACAATTGAGTGCATTATTTAAAGTGAGTTATATAGCTATTGAATAATAAATACTTTGAATTTTATTAATTATAAGTTTTTCATTGATTTCACTGAAGGCCTCATTGGATGACAAACAGAATCTGGAGAACAGTTTCCAAGAATTTAAGACTAATTTCAACAAATCATATGAGACGGTAAGGGAGGACAAGGAAAGGGAGCAGATATTCAAGAAGAATATGCTGCAAGTGTTTGAACACAACGTGGACGCCCTAAACGGCAAGTCCTCATACACTGAACACATCAACAGATTTGCAGACATGACTGCGAAGGAAATCATCGGTCAGTTCACGGGGTTTCGGTTGCCATCGGACTCTAATGTCAACCAATTGGCGGTCAATACGACTAACAGACCGCAGCCTACGGTTAGACCGCGTATTAGTTTTGTGAAGTCGAGTAATACCAGTGCTGGCAGTGGTGTCAAAATCGGAGGAATTGAGTCTCAAAACAGTTGGATATATGACTGGCGATCGGTGGGAGTGATCGGACCCGTCCAGAATCAGGTCAGTATTGTCCGGAATATTCTGTTGATATTTGAACAGAATTTGTGTGGATTTGCAATTATCAGGGAAGTTGCGGTTCGTGTACACTGTTTACGGCGGCGGCACTCGTCGAGAGCTATTGGGCCCGATATGGACACGGAGTCATTCCTCTGAGTCCACAGCAACTGCTCGACTGTTCCAGTGGTCATGATATCTGCGCCAATGGGGCCGCCTTTGCGCCCATCTA